ATAAAGAGTATACAACATGTTTAAAACTTCTCTAGACACTTGTTTTTATTCAAAAATCGTTCGCAAGCTACGGTTGGGTCTAGTTAAACTCGTAATTAAAATGTCGTTTATAAAATTTGATATACAATATACACTACTCCCATAATTCAATTCGTTTATTAGACATTTCCTACCTGTACTATAATGAGATCCATTATGATACAGTTTTTTAGCCAATAGAAATGTAATACACAGCAATAATAACCAATCAATAGAAATGTGGTACACGGCAATATTCTCTCAATATAAACTATTGCCTAGGACATCTAATCTGATCTGATTTTCACAAGTTACTGTTTACATAGAAAACATGTGCGATAGTAAATGTAAAATTTAAAATTTAACCCCGCCAGAAATATTAACAGGCCGCAAAAGCCGTAAAAAACTTATTACCCGTATAATCATCAAAAAAGTAATAAACACTTCAGAATTAAAGTGTTAATTTTCTACTTTATTATGACATATAATTCTCATGCTTATGGCTTAAATTAGCGTTGCCATTTTTAATAAAAGTCTTCTATATTTAACGAAAATCTTCTATTTTCTATGCTTCTAAAATATAGAAGCAAAATCTTTTATATTTTGGAATTAAAAAAGGTATTGTATATGTTTAGTATGTATTTAATAATAATAATAATAATAATAATAATAATAATAATAATAATAATAATAATAATAATAATAATAATAATAATAAATGTTCTTCATTAAATCATCAAAGGGCCATTGACTTACGTCCTTCAGCTAGAACAGGTATATATATATATATATATATATATATATATATATACTATATATAGTATATTAATGTTATTTTAAAAATATGTAGGTATATCATTTTCGTACAAAAAAAATTGTAATAATAATTATTATAACAAATTTAATTATAATACTAGTCGTCGTTAAAAAGTGGTTCCAACGTTGTTTTTTGCAGATATCTGTTTCTTGCATTTTCTGCTCTTGGCATACAGATTTCCAAAATAATTATAGAGAACTTGTCTCTCTCTCTCTATATCTGGCAGTTAGGTTTTTAATTCTTTCCATTATTGGTGTTATTCCTGTATTTTAATAAAGGGTAGGATTGGGAGGTTATGGAGAGAATTGTTTGGATGACGGATTTTGGTAATTTTTCTTAGGAAGGATGTTTCTGCAACTTAAATGTTTTTTAAAGTGGAAGTTTTGCAATTGAGGAATAATGAAAACCCATACTTTATATCAGATAATTTGTATTTATCTTCTTTGAATGGCGCCGTACAGTGTAGACATTTGTTTAAGACATTGTTAATTCGAGGTTTGTTGGCCTTACCTATATTAAGTTTTGTATGGAACAGTACCATATTTCCACCTCTGGCATGTTTATTTGGTGAGTATCCATTATGTTGTAAAATGTTCCAGTTTTTATATGAAGTGTTGGAGGTGGGGTGTTTTCGTTTCTACAAACATTGCGGCATGGATATCATTGTTGTATGTATGTATGTATGTAGTTATTTATTATAAACTTTCTTCTGGTGTAGCTGCTAATGTTGGCACAGATTATTTTAGTTGTCAAGGAGATATTTGCTGTTAAATCATTCATGTCGTGAATTGTAAGTGGTGAATGAATGCGAGACATTTGGTTTTCTCTTGAGGCTGGTTTGGATTTTTTGTTGATGGATTTAATTGGTTGTTTGGGAAAACCTCCTTATAGGTCTTTTAGGACATTGAAGTGAGGCCTGATGCTCTTCAGATCCGCATCCAGAGCATTTAGGAGGAACAGGCGACGTGCACTTGCTTTAATCATGTGTCCTGGAGCATTTCAAGCATTTTCTAGTCGTTTTGTAGTTTTCGACAGCATGTTTAAAGGTAAGGCTTTTTTACAATATTGCGGTAAAGGAATAGGAGGTTTGCTAGGGTATACCCTAGTATCAGTGGAATTGGACAAGATTCTTTGTCAAGATACTTGGAAAAGCACTTTGTAAAGAATTGGACAATTCTTGACCAAGACTCTTGATCAAAATTCTTTATCCAGACTGGTGCCAGACTTGCGACAAGTCTGTGACCAGAATTCGACCAGATTCTTGGCCAAGAATTTTGACGTATACGTCAAAATTCTTGCCTATACAGGGTGTCCCGAAATTGGGGGGCTAAACTTAAAAAGTGCATTCTTTATAGAAAAATAACACTTGTTTGTTTAATAAACATGTATCAAAAAATGCCCCCAAACGGAGCTACGGCCCCCTGAATAGGAGCCTAAGAGGATCATTTTTTTAAAACTATTCCTAGAGGTTTGAACAGGAAGATATAAATTTTTGGTACTTTGGTAATTTTGACATGCTGAATCTAGATCTTAGATCAAAACTGTTAAAATTGAATCATAGGCGTTACATTTGGGGGGCAAAGTTACAAAAATAGCCCTAACTTTTTTCTAGGTTCATGTTTTAATTTTTGTATATGAAATTATGAAAATTTATAGTTTTTTACGAAAAATAAGTACTCTTTATTTAGAACGTTCAGATGCACCATTTTCGAGAAAAATGCATTTATAAATAAATTACTCTCATTATTATTATCTCATATTTTCATTAAAACGTTCATGAAATGAAGATTTGGTACTTTGGTAATTTTGACATGCTGAATCTAGATCTAAGATCAAAAGTTGTATAATCTGTGATCAAAACTTTTAAAATTTCATCATAGGCGTAACATTTGGGGGGGCAAAGTTACAAAAACATATCCAATTAAAAATATAAAAATATAACTATTATAAATAACCCAAACGTCACTTTTGTCCTAAAGCCTACTAGAAAATTCTTGCCTATACAGGGTGTCCCGAAATTTTATGCATATAGTTTTTTAAGTAGTAATTCAAATAGTAGAATTTTGACTATTTCATTTAATAGAGTAGAGTATTGTGAATGATGCTACTCAGGGCCGGACCTAAGGGGGGTGTAGGGGGGGGAGTCTATTACTATACTTTTTGAAAATTTTATACAGGGGGGTCAAAAAACAAGAAAACATGAAATACTCTCAGGAATAAACTACCTTTATTTTTCGTTTTGGAGCAAAATGAGAAATAATATTATTAGGATATCCTATCCAAAGACTAATTGTAAAATTTCAAATCAGTATTCCAAATTTTCTTTTTCTTATAAAGTTTTAAAATTTAATTTCTAATTTATTCTTTTGTACCTCATTTCACGTATTCTTTACCTATGTATAGGGTTCTTAACCCGGACATTTTGTGTAAATTTACATTAATTACCAAAATGAACAATGATAGAATGCAAATTGTCAATTTGACGTTACTTGATTATTGTTGATTGTGTCATTTTTGTAAATATGAAATTAAATTTTAAAACTAAGAAAAATAAAATTTGGAATAATATTCCAAATTTTATTTTTCCGAATAGTTAAAATTTTACAAATGGTCTTTGGATACAATTTGAAATCTTTTTTTTATTTGTCATTTTGCTCCAAAACGAAAAATAAAGGTAGTTTACTCCTGAGAGTATTTCATGTTTTCTTGTTTTTTGACCCCCCTGTATAATATTTTCAAATTTAAAGTATGGCAATAGACTTTTTTAAACAAGCAGAACTTTTTAAAAGGAATGACTTTTGGTCGAAAAATGAAAATTTTAGTTCATTTGTCCTCTTGGGCCCTCTATCCATGGACATAATGTATAAAAAAATAAGTTGGTTTTTTATCGTCTCCGCACCCCCCCAAAAAGTGTGCCTCGGTACGGCTCTGATGCTACTGTAGAATGAGAACCTCTACTCTATAGATTTCTGGTCAAATTCTTGGCCAAGAATCTGGAACAATTCTTGTCCCATTCTTGATAAAAAATCTGTACAAAGTATCTTGACCCATTCTGGCCCAAGTCTTGCCCAATAATCTGGGCCAAGAATCTGGAACAATTCTTGTCCGATTCTTGATAAAAAATCTGTACAAAGTATCTTGACCCATTCTGGCCCAAGTCTTTGACAAAATTGCTACTAGGGTAGTGGTTATAATAATTATTGTAGTAGAATTCTTGAGATAGGATTTTCAAAGGTGGCCTGGGAACCTGTTATTACCCTTATAAATTTAATAGGATTACCAGTTGTCCTGAAAATAATTTTTTCTACGACCACTATGTAAAAGTCACATTTCGTATTGGCATCGTTGCTTAGAAAATGAATCTTTACATTGGCAAGGCAAAACACGAATGTAAAGTGACATTTCTGTGTGAAAAGTTACAGATCTGTATGAAAATAAATTGACAGCATCGTTTGACATTCGTTTTAAAATTTGTATTGTATTTGTATATGTATTGTATTGTATTTGTATATGTAAGTTTATTGATTCTATGTAACTTATACCTTAAAAATTAAAAGATTAAGATGAAAGTAATTTTAACAGCTGTCATACCTACACGTTTTTAGGTTATTTTGTTTTGTATTTGAAAATAATAAAAAATAAAAGGGTCGTAGAAAAAATATTGTGTTTCACTTGTGAGAAAAGCTTTCTTCAAGCTCGTGTTAATGCACACTCGGCCTGACGGCCTCGTGAGCAAACTTAAACACTCGCATGAAAAAGTCGCTTTTCAACACTTGTAAAACAAATAACTATTTTCTACGACCACTATGTAAAAGTCACATTTCGTAATGGGATCGTTGCTTAGAAAATAAATCTTTTCATTGGCATGGCAAAACACGAATGTAAAGTGACATTTCATCAAGAAGAAATTCTTTTATTTATGGCATTTTGATTTCTGGCAACCAAGTCTTAATAGCCATAATTAAATAGTCGTTGCATAATATATTATTTTATGTGCAATTTTTTTAATTTAATCTATATACATGTATATATGTAAATTTAATTAAAAAATAATTGGTTTAGTTCCGCATGACGAAAATTGCTCTTGTTACAAACAATTGCAATCAATAAATAAATAAAGATAAATACCGACCAATTAATCACTTAAATTAAACAAAACCAATCTACTAAATGTTGTTTGAAACAGTCTGTGATAAGATTCACTATTTAAGACATCAAAAATGTTAAAGGCAATATTTGTGTTCTTTAGTTGTATATTATGTGTAATTTGTTATATAGTTAACCCTGGACCTATGTACCCACCAACCAAGGGAGAAATATGGCCTTTGGTTGGAAACCAAGTTAAAAGTAAAACATATTTTGTTTTGAGACCGCAGTTTTTTGAATTTAACGTAAGTGTTATTGTATTTTTTATCATCTAATGCCTAATAAAAACATTATAGGTATTAAACTTTAGTTTAAAGTGTTTTTAATTTGAATATTATCTCATTGTGAGATATACCTAATCTTATATGTGCCCATAACAATAGCATTATATTAAACTAGCAACAATAGGTTTGCTTAGTTGTTTAAATATGCTCAAAGTGTTTATATGTTTGTTGTTATTCATAAACATTGTACAATGTTATATTATGGAACCAGGGGCTTTAATAAAAGCGACCAAAGGAGAAATATGGCCCATACCTAAAAATCAAACCAAAAACAATAAATATTTAATTTTAAACCCAAATTTATTTAGCTTTAAGGTAAAAACAGTCATAATCCCTATAATCCCTAACTTTTATTTCCTTAGGTTGTCAATTATGATTGCTCAATAATCCAACAAGCCATCACTAGATACTGGTTAATTATAAACCAGCAAGCCCTGGGAAATTTTAAACCAATACAAAAGCTGCAAAATGACTTATACAAAAAAGAAAAACACCCTAATTTCGAAGGTTTTCTCGATGCTTTAAATGTCAATTTGACAGGTTCATGTAAAGGCGATGAGTTGCCATACTTTAACATGGATGAAAGTTGTAAGTATATCCATTAAGATACAGTTTATTCAAAATTATACGGTATAATTTATACCATTTGTTCTACGTAGCAAATTATATCATTTAATAGGTTCATTTTTACTTATGAAATCATTAATGTGATCTTGAGGGGTTCATAAATTTATTCAAAAAATCAACAAATTCTTTTAATTATTTAAAAATTGATTTTAGATGAAATTGAAATATCCAAACAGAGAGTTGAACTGAAATCTCCATCAATATGGGGTATACTTAGAGGCATGGAAAGTTTTTCACAGCTAATTTATGCCAGTGAAGACCTAACAGTAAAAAAACAAAAACATTTATACATTATTTACATCTACAAATTTTAGTTAAAGGTTAACTTCACAACCATATCTGATAGACCAAAATATTCTCATAGAGGCCTTCTTCTGGATACATCAAGACATTTTATTTCCGTGAAAAAAATTCTGGAAACTTTGGACGCAATGGCTTATAATAAGCTCAATGTGTTTCACTGGCATATTGTGGATGATCAGAGTTTTCCATATAAAAGCGTTAAGTTTCCAAAAATGAGCGATAAAGGGGCATACCACCCTGTGCTTAGAGTTTACCAGCAAGATGATATCAAAAATATTATTGAGTATGCTAGAATTAGAGGGATACGAGTGATGGCAGAGTTTGATACACCAGGTAAGTCATTTTTGAAGTTTTTTTAAGTTTTGGAGATTTTTATTTGTTCCACGTTCTTAAGGACATACGAGATCATGGGGTGAAGCAATTACTGATTTATTAACACCTTGTTACGACAAAACATCAAGTAAACCCACAGGTCAATTTGGTCCCATAGATCCAACCAAAAATTCAACGTATGCGTTTTTAAAGACATTTTTTGGGGAAGTTGTTAAAGTTTTTCCTGATAAATATGTACATTTGGGTGGGGATGAAGTCGGATTTGAGTGCTGGTAAATATAAATAAATACTCTTTATATATATTTTTTATAATTTATGTATTTTTAGGGAGAGCAATCCTATAATAAAAGAATTCATGAAAGCTAATAACTTGACGGACAACTATGCTGGCTTAGAGAGTTTCTACATTCAAAAACTCGTAAAAATAGTCCAAAACTTAAAATCAAATTTCATAGTTTGGGAGGAAGTCTTTACTAATGGAGTCAAACTTCCGCCGGAAACAATTGTACATGTTTGGATTGATGGGGACTACAAAGGCTTAATGTCAAATGTAAGTTCATTTTGCCACTATAAATTTTTTTAAATAAATTATTTAAATTTGCAATTGGTTGAAATTTACTTTGTTTTCATTAAAAAAAGTCTTTATAGAAAGCAATAAACCATTTAGAGAACGGCATTCTTCACAGCACACTAGGTGTTATAAAGAATTCCGTGATCAGATTGGTCTGCTTTCTGTAGAGATACCAAATTTTAAAAAATAATATTTTTAGATTACTGCTGAAGGTAAAAAAATAATCCTTTCGGCTTGTTATTATTTGGATCATTTAGAGACGGGCGGTGATTGGTTGAGTTACTATAGATGTGACCCTAGCAATTTTACTGCTACAGATAATCAAAAATCTTTGGTTATGGGAGGCGAAGCTGCGATGTGGTCTGAAGTTGTCAACGATTATAATGTTATATCTAGGTGAGAACCAAAGAATGCAGAAATTTTTATAAACTTTATAATGATAAAAAATACTTTTAGGGTATGGCCTAGAGCTTCAGCAGTGGCAGAAAAGTTGTGGTCTGTCCATAGCCCGAACTTAAATATCGATGATACGGACAACAATGTTATAAATTTATATATAAAGGGAAAACTCACCTCGGACACCATAATGGTGGCAAAAAGATTGGAGGAACATACTTGCAGAATGAATAAAAGGGGAATTGGGGCTCAGCCACCCACTGGACCTGGAGTATGTTTATAAGAAGAATGTTGTATTAGTTTTACAGATTTTAGATTTTTGTATTAGTTTTATGGATTTTACTCTTTCAAATATTATTAAAATAAATTAGAATAAAAAGAATTATTTACTTAATTAAAGCAATCCCTAAAAATCATTAAAATAAATCCAAAAATCAGATCAACCTTTAAATTATAAAAACAAATCGGAAAGTATTATAAGAATAATTAAGTTATTAAAAAAAACTATTAAAACTAATCAAATTATAAGACAATCATTTAATTTTGTAAAAATCCTTAAAATATAAAAATAACAAAAAACATAAAAGTGAAATTCCAAAAATCAGGATCTAAATATTATAAAAAATCATTAAATAATTTTAAAAATTACCAAATAACATAATAAATACAATAGCAATAACAAAATAAATAAACTTAATAATAATAATATAATTTATCTATTTTACTGTATCTACTCCAATAATTAAATGATTTTCAAAATTAAATAATTAAAATCTGACATCTGAAAAATGGTTAACCTCACTTTTTACCAACTTTAAATGTTATTATAGTCGCCTTCTTCCAATTTAAAACCCGATTGGATCAAATCACAAATGACTAACAACGTGAATAATGAGTTCATTATTTTCGTTGTTAGGCAGGAAATTTATTATTTTTTATCAATATTCACAGCAAAAAAATCGGCCACCAGAAATTGGCAACAATTTTAATGTTGGTTTTCTCGCAAACCGCCCATCTGATTTTAATGATTTTTCTTTAAATGTTGAAATATATATACAATGTATATATATTATACATACATACATACATACACACTCAATTAATCGCTGATTTTAAGCTAAAATAGTTTAACTTTTATGATATTCTTAATTTCATGATCCAGATTTTAACTGCAAATAAAATTATATACACACTCAATTAATCGCTGAATTTAAGCTAAAATAGCTTAACTTTTTTGAAATTCTTAATTTTATAATACAGCTTTTGACTGTAAAAATTTTTTTTTACTTCGATTCAAAAAAGTTTTTATATAAAAATTAGTTTTTCAAAACGGATTTGAAGCGAAGTAAAAAATTGCTGGATCATGAAATTAAAAATATAAAAAAAGTTAAGCTATTTTAGCTTAAATTCAGCGATTAATTACGTGTATTGAAGAATTTAGGTACGTTATTTATATATAGCTTCGAGTTTCCTGCAAAATTGTCCCTAAACTTTTTTCCAACAGTGAATATTATAATAATATATTATGCAGAATAATGAAAATAGGATTTTAGACACTAACTTTTGAACTGTAGGTGATAAAAAAAATTGTTTAAAACAAAGATCTTCAAAATTGCTAATTAACTTTTTCTTCTACGATTAGTACTTTAGCCGCTAAATGTAAAAATATAATTTTTTTTCAACATTAATAATAATAATAATAATTTTTTGTAGATAATTTAATGCTAAAAAAGGACCAGTGATTGTTTATCAAAAAAAAGTTCTACATAGTATGCAGGCGAAATAAATCTTAAAAACCTATTTTTTCATGTTAAATCAATGCGAAAATTTTAAATTCGGTGATAGACCTTTTAAAATTAACATTAAGAGCTCAAATTTTGATTTTTTTTTAGCATAAGTGACGAGAATATCACATGAATTTGAAAAAAAAAATATTGCCTTATTTTGAAACACCCTAATATATATATATATATATATATATATATATATACAGGGTGTTCCAACGAAAACTTGTACCCCCCCCCCCAAACGTTTTATCGGATGAGTGTGGACAAAATTCCTTGGACACGTCAATTTTTATTTTTAGGGGGACGAATTTTGATGTATGTTTCACGCCCCCACCCGCACCCCTACACGCTCCACCCCGCCCGCCCCCTAAATTTTAAATTGTAAGGGGGGCTGAATGATTTATCATTTTAAAAGTCTTTTAATTCTTAATAAGGTTCTGTAATTTTTTTAAAATCTGTTGGTTAGTTTTGGAGAAATTGCTATTTGAAGTTTTAAATTAAAATAAAACACAAAAACTGTAAATCAACGAATGTAAAGTGATTTCCTCCAACCTCCATGCAATAGTACAGACGTTGATTAAAAATATTTCTAACATTTTGAAATACGTCTAGCGTTAATAACCGGCATTCTCTAATAATTCTTTCCCTCAATTCCTGAAGAGTCTCTGTTGGAGTGGCATAAACTTTTGATTTCAAATGTCCCGACAAAAAAATCTAACGGTGTTAGATCAGGAGATCTAGGCGACCACTCTATAGGACCCCTTCTTCCAATCCAACGTCCTGGAAAATGTCCATCCAAAAATTGTCGTACATCAAGAGTATAATGCGGAGGTGCGCCGTAATTTGATCTTCAAATAAATTATTATCATTTTCTAGAATTTCGGTAATCATTGGATCAATAAGATCTTCCAACATTTCTAGATAAATGTCTCCATTGAGGTTGCCGTCTATGAAAAATGGACCAACAAGATGGTCCCCTAAAATTCCGGCCCAAACATTTAACTTTTGGGGAACTTGGGTGTGGGTTTCATGGAGCAAATGTGGATTAGTATCGCTCCAATAGCGACAATTATGTCTATTTACTTGTCCATTTAACATAAAAGTGCACTCATCCGAAAAACATGTATTATACAAAAGATTAGGATTAATAATCAACTGCTCACTGAAATATTCGCAAAACTGTAACCTGCGATCAGGGTAATCTTCATTAATTTCTTGAACCAGCCGAATTTTGAAAGGATGAAACTTGTTCATTTTCATGATGCGAAACACACTGGTGGCGGATACGCCAGAGGCTTGAGATAATTTCCTGATAGACTGTGTATTATCCATTTGTACATGACCCAACACAGCAACTTCTATAGCTTCATTTCTTACTGGACGGTTTGCCTCACGTTTTTTGTTGTGGATGGAACCGTAGTTTGAAACTTAGCTACTAATTGTTGAACGTATTGGTAACTTACGTTTTTTTCAGGATGATTATTATTAAAAATTCGTGCCGAGGCGTTTGCACAATCATTATTTCGATAATAGGTTGCAATAATTTCCGTTCTTTCTTCATTGGAGTATACCATTTTGAGAATACGTTGTAAGGTACAGAACCTTATTAAGAATTAAAAGACCTTTAAAATGATATATCACTGAACCCCCCTTACAATTTAAAATTTAGGGGGCGGGCGGGGTGGAGCGTGTAGGGGTGCGGGTGGGGGCGTGAAACATACATCAAAATTCGTCCCCCTAAAATTAAAAATTGACGTGTCCAGGGAATTTTGTCCACATTCATCCGATAAAACGTTTGGGGGGGTACAAGTTTTCGTTGGAACACCCTGTATAATAATTGTTAACATTATAAACATGTCAGTTGAAAGCAACAACCTTTCATAATCACAAAATGAGATAGCAGTCAATTTCTACAAAATAATAGGACCACTCAAGTTAGGCCCTAAATTGATTTTATTTTTAATAACAAATATCTTAGTAACAACAACAGGCATGAAAAAACTGATTGATTTCTTCTTACCAGCTCTTTATATTAGCACTATTATATTTGACAATTTTTAATTTTGCAAAATCTACAATTGTATTTTTTTGGGCACCCTGTATTAGAAAGTTTCTCATCGTGAATGGTATTTATATAACAAGCAGAATAAATTATGTGGAGTAAATTTTCCTCAAAAAATTGAAAATATATATTTTTACAAGTATAGTTAAGTCCATCCGTGGACACACTGTTCATAATAATTTATAGTAATTTATGTAAAAAACCAACACTGTTTTTTTAAGTTTGGCGTCGTTCAATTTAACAATTTAACAATTGATTAAATCAAATCAAATTTTGTTTTCAAAAATCATATTTACGTGGGTATTATTAAAAAATCCTAAATTTATATTTATATTTACCAAGTATTAAATAAAGAAACATGTTTTGTGATTTTATAGGCCCTGTGACACAGGGTGTCTAATCAAAATAGACACCGTAATAGAGGTTGTAGAACTCAACGAGACTTACACTTTGTTTAAATAAATATTTTTTATTCAAGCTTTCGTTTACGAGTTATCGACCTTTTTTGCTTTTATATAACCTTATGATTAAGGTTATTTATGGCCAGATTTTAAAAAAATTGAATTTAGTTTCATATCTACAATTTTTGCACCAAACATTTTAAATCAGACCATAGATAAGGAAGATACAAAGGTTTTATGTTTTTAAATAAACCTCTTTACTTTCATTATTTATTTAGGATTTGAAAATGAGTAATACGAAAATTGTAGATATTAACCTTAAAATTTTTAAAATCCGGCCATAAATAACGGAGAAAAAAAGTTTATCTAATAACAAAAGAAGATCAATAATTCGACACAAAAGTTTGAATAAAAAATATTTATTTGAAAAAAGTGTTGGTCTCTATGAGATCTATAACATGTATGTTATATGTCCATTTTAATTAGAAATACCCTGTATACTTATATATATATATATATATATATATATATATATATATATATATATATATATATATATATATATATATATATATATATATATATATATATATATATATATATATATATATATATATATATATATATGTATGTATGTATAGTAGGTGTGTTATGTTAATATAAAAAAATCACCTTCCTTAAAAACCGTACTAAAAACTAACAAGTTAATTTCAACCCCTTGACTTAAAACTGGTCTAACCTACCCCACGTAGCGAGCGGCGTATTTAAATTTTAATCAATTTCCAACCATATTCACAAAACAAACTGACACATAAAAACTCACCGCAGCAGTAACCCAATACCCCAAACTCAAGAATGGTACACAAACATAATAGCCACAAGTTTACGCCTAATTGCCCAAAAAGATACCATCTAATCTCCGCTGAAAAGAAGAAGGAGAGTGGGGATGTTTTCTATATATATAAACTAAGGGGCCGTCTGTTGGCATAACATTATCATTTAAAGTTTTCCAAAATCTAGTCAGTGTTTAAACAAATATACAGTGTTTTTTGTGTAAGTGTTAAAGGATGATATCTCAAATGGATCAGAAGGACGAAGTGGTTAAACATTCAGATTTTAGTATAGATCATATATTAAATAGGGCCGGAAATAGTCAGAATAGTGATGATGAAGCTAGGACTAGTGTTAATTACTCGTTGGATCCTTATTCTTGGCTGCAGTGCACACGATATTGCCCTCCCAAAATTCCAAGTAAGTAATAAGTATGATAAGTCATTTTTCGAAGAACTTTAAAACCAAAACTATAAATTGTTAAACCATGAACATTCAAAAGACTAATTTGACTATTTTTTTCAGGAGTTCCAAAAAGAGAAGGCCCTCAAAAACGCCAACTAGGACGACATCCTAGAATCCCTTTTACTAGTCACCAACTTTCAATACTAGAAGAAAAATTCCAACAAACCCCGTACCTAAGCAGCGAAGAAGTCATCAAACTATCAAATAAACTCGACCTAGCGGACATACGTGTAAAAATTTGGTTTCAAAATCGCAGGGCTCGCGAGAGACGCGAAAAAACATCCACGGAAATAAAACAGGAAGAAAGAAAGTCGCCTGTGAAAAGTGAAGAGAATATTCGGGTTTCGCCATCGACGTCGCCTATGAGTATGGCAGTTAGACAACCGTCTCCTGATTTTACTATGCCAACTTTGATTTATAATCCTTTTTTGTCAAATCCTTTCCTGAATTCTTATTCCCTACCAAATAATACTGATAATGAAAACAGGTAGCTAATGTTTTTAGATTTTATACTTTTTTGTAAATTTGTAAATAAAATGTATATAATTATTTAATATTTTTATTTTTGGAAGTTATTAAAAAATGTTGTTTTATGATATTTTTAGAGTTCTAAGCTTTATAACTGAATTTTATTTATACTCTTTTAAGGCGATTTATATAAAAGGAATCCATCGATAATTGACAAAGGTTGGAATTATACATAACATATATTTAAAAAATTACTTTAGTCTTGACTTAATTATACGTTTTCTTGTTTTTTAACCACCCTGTATATAATTTAGAATTTTTTAAGATGGTTATGGAATTTACAGAAGTAGCAAGTTTTTATAAAGAATTGATTTTTTTTATGAAGAATTGATTCTTCTATAGTTAGGTCCATCCGGAGCACACTATAGTTTATATAGTGTATAGGTATATACACACTATATAAACTATAGTGTGCTCCAGATGGACGTAACTATAGAAAAAGCAATTCTTCATAAAAACTTGCGCTACTTCTGTAAATTCCATATCCATCTTAAAAATTTCTAAATTATATACAGGGTGGTTAAAAAACAAGAAAACGTATAATTAAGTCAAGAATAAAGTAGGTAGGTACCTAACTGTTTTTTAAATAACTGTACAAATCTTTGAAGAAAAAGATTTTTATAAAGTCAATAGAAATTTAGATTTCAAATTTAAACAATGTTATTAAAAATTATTGCTTTCGACATTAGGGGATATTAATCTATGATTTTAATTAAAGTAAATAATTATACACAGTAATTATTAAAGTTAACCATGACAATAGTAACTTGAGTTTCTGTATATGTCAATTTTGTTCAAGTAATGTTTACGCTAGTGCATGCAGAGAATCTATTTAGTAAAATGGTATAGGTGAAATATCATATTGATCTGCAATTGAACTTTTTAATAGAAAATATTCGGATGTATACCTACGCAGGCCCGTTCCTGGGGTGTCTGGCCCTTTTATAATTAAATATAATACCTTAAATATTTTAATTTTAAGCCCTAAAATTTAAAAAATATATATTTTGCAACAAACTGGCAAAATGTAATTGAAAATGTAAAAAAAACTGCCGAAATTAAGTATAAAAAATATTTATTAAATTACCAAACAAACAAAATCACAAAAAATAGTTAGTAATAACTCTAAAGAAAACAAAAGAAAGTTAAAAAAACTATATAAACAATATAATAACTACAACTGGTTTTTAGTGAAGTACTCTCTAAAAATGAATTAGTCATAAATGACTAGTTTTTAAAGTGAAAGAGGAGTCACTAATATCTGTAGTCCACAGCAATTTGTATCACATTTATCCCTTCAGCTTATTATTATGTAAAATTATCCCCTGAACCCGAAAAGACCGTCAAAAATTATAAAAGTAGAGCAGTTTTTGAGATATCGTATATTCCATATCATATATGGAAAACTGTTCTATGTACTTTTATAACTTTTGACGATATTTTCGAATTCAGCGGACAATTTTACATAGCAGTTGACTGCTAAATGTCCGGGATACAAATTGCTGTTGACGATAATTACATTGTAGGGAGGTGAAAATATCACAACTAAACGCTCGGACACGTAAAAGTTCAAAGATATTGGAAACACCCTGTATAAATTTAAACACCCTGTATAAATATAAAAAAAATTTGGCTGGACCCACATATCAGTTCAAAATTGAAAAAAAAAACCCAAATTTTTTCAAATTTTTAAAGGAACACTTGTCCCTTAGGGCTTAGACTATTTCCCTCGTCTTAATTTCCAACACAACACAAACGCGCAATTTTGAATTAAAAATGGTTTCTAGGAGGAAAAACTGCACCTGTCAGCAGTTTTTTCGAGTTTACCCGCGGCAAAACTTGACAGCTGTTGTCACCAAAAATTGCAATTGATATTTTAAATATACCATATATAATTAAGTTTGTAGTATTTTGTGATTAAATAAATTACCTATTTTTCAGTTTTCAAATTAATACCTACATATGTATGCATGTATAATAGGTAGTATGTTTTGTAAGCTATGTGTATGCAGAATAACTGTTACTCATGAAATAGTCTTGTCAAATACCATTCGGGCATCTAATTTTTCCTGTGAAAAAAAATCGAAAAAACACAATGCTAAGTAATATTTTTTAACAAAATGCATTCGTGCAGATGAAAAAATCCTCGTCTTTGACTGGGATTTTTGTTGCCACCAGCACTCATGCTTCTTGTTAAAATATTACTAAGCAACGTGTTTTTTCGATTTTTTTTGGAAAAATTAGATGCCCTTATGATATTACTTACGATAATTTAGGAAATTCAAAATTTTTTTTTGCTATTTTTTTATTGAGTAAAATTGAGGATATTACATTAAATAAAATAAAAAGCATAGGAATATTTGAACAAGAGGTGACATATTTTATTATACAAATTATAATATACCAGTATACAGTGTGTCCCCGTATCGGATTTCCGACAGGAAAAACTTTTTTAGACCTGATACAGCTAAATCGAGCACGGATTTGGATTCTACGACCAAAAATTATGTATACACCAAAAAAAATAATGTAGGTGAGTTAACGTTTGCCTAAATGTCATTTTTGAAAATGTTTTTTCATCAAAAAACCTATTGGATTAATCTATATTTTGGTGTCAAAGCAATAGTCAGAGTTTGTCAAAATTTATTTGTTCATTTGACAGTTAAAATATTGATTTAACATAAACTAATTTTTTGAATTAAAATGTTTATCCTATTTTGATTTAATAGCTGGAATTGGTTGAATCAAATATTGAAATTTTTAGGATTACCTAAAAAAAACTATTAAATTAACGTTTAGTTGCTCTTTAAATCCAAAAAATTAAATTTGTTCATTTAACAAATTTTAAATGTTACTTTAAATTTTGTTAATTTTGCATTCATAAAATTGCCGTGAAGGGCGCTTCGAACACCCACGCCACGTCATTAGATGGTGTTGATCACTTACATCTCGCCTCAGTTGGCTTACGACAGGAGTATATAAGCTCAGGTAGCCGTTTCTTTTCGGTGTGCTCCACAGTGGAACTTCCACTACACCAAATTGACGGCCACTGATTATAATCAGCAGTGACTGATAAGACCCCCAATATAGGTCAAATCAGCCGGCTGTCGGTAGGTATTTGAAGTAGGTGGAACGCACTCAAAACAAAAACTCTGGCTAGGGAAGGTTCAATTCTTTCTGTTTATATTAATTCCATAATTTAATTAACCCAACATTAGCGCAAATTATTTTAATTTAACATTTTATTGGTGTTAAGTAAATATGCTAAAAAGGTTACCTGGACATTTCAAAAAATTTACATTGACATCTTAAAAATGTTAGCACAACCATTTTCGAAATATTACTCCGACATATCAAGAATGTTTAATTAACCAGATTAGCAGATTAGAACAAATATTCTCATTTTGTTTATTTGACTAATATTTGTTGTTCAATTAAACAATACAAGTTGACATTTTTAGATGGTTAAATAAACGTGCAAAAACCATTGCTTGTATTTAAAGTGCCTAAAGAGTTAAATTAATATTTTTTTGTTGTATTTAGCAAATTTAATAGAACAGGTGCACATGTGGTAACAGATTTAAAGAAGCAAAAACAAATCCATGACGAAAATGATGCCGCTACATTGGTAGCAATAAATTCAGTAAGAAATTTTCCAAAAATATTGCTTTGAAATCGGCGATAGACGTGTTTGTAAAAGTCACTTACAGACAATTTTATCAAAGAACAACATTTATCCGGTAAAATTACATAAACTTGAAGAAAGAGATGATGCACTTCGTTTAGAATTTTGTTTGGTGATGAGAGAACAAATCATGATGAAAAAATATTTTTTTACAAAAAAATTGTTTTTTTTTTCTGACGTAATAACATCCACCACGAATGAAGTCGTTAGCAGCCAAAATTGTAAGTACGGGTCGGAAGAAAATCCAAATTTTAAAATTATAACAAATTGACAGCGATATAAAAAGGTAAATGTTTGGTTTGCCATAATGCCTGATAAAATTATTGGAATCATTCTATCGTTTCGGGTGTTCATTTGTTCAACCAAAGTCTACATTTGTATGTATTTTGAAATAACATTTTAGCAATTGAAGTGCCTTATTCTCTACGTTTTTAGTTGTTTTATCTAAATTGTAAAATTAGTACAGTTTAGCATTAAGGATAACGATTTTATAAGTTAAAAAGTGTGCGTTTCGGGTGTTTCACGATCCGCCTCTATGTCGTGACCATTGTTACATTTCTTTTAAATTCAGCAAATTTCCCTAGGGAAATATTCCTAAAAATTACAGGCCTCCAAAAGTATAATATTTACCAACCATCTCCCAAAATAATTACTGTCACAAATAACGTTTTACTATTTTTTAATAAAATTTTTCTTTTTTTCGGGTGTTACCATGGTTTTGTTTCGGATGTTACAAGTACAAAAATAAAACACTTTATATGGACAAAATCGGTGTTTTATTAGTCTTTAGGTACTACAAAATAAGTTAGTAACAAATAAACATAAATTAAATGAATTCTCCTTAAACATAACTTAAGTAACTTCGGGTGCGATTGATAAATTGGCAAAAAGGGTAAAATCGTTATTTTTGCCAAAAATCGGTAAAAAAATCGGTAGAAACATAATTATTGACGAAAATCTTCGGTGTTTTGGTAGCTCTGTTGCCATTTAGGTAGAAATACCAAAATTTTGGTAGGTTCGACAACACCATCGGAAAAGCAGTCACACCTTTTTAAAAGAGGTGTGACTACTTGTCATGAAATGACCCATTGGTCCTTATTTTTTCGACAGAACTGTAAACCAGAACACGTACAAAATATGATGAATATTTTCTTTCTACCTGCTCTGAATAAAATATACTTTCAAGTCAGGTGGAGTCTTTATTTTCAACAGGACGGTTGTCCTGCACATAGAGCAATTCGAGTTGAGGAGTGACTGGATAGGAATTTTCCTAACAAA